CTAGTTTCTGCCTTTGGATCCTTACTGTTGGCTCGGTTATCTCCCCAAACCCTGCAATAGGCCAGGGGTAGTCTTATCATACAGCCCACTCTCAAGACAACCATGGGGAATCATTATTATTACTATTATATCCATTATAAAAATGAGGAAATCAAGGCAGGGAGTTAAAGCTACTTTATCAAAAGCTGACAATTGAAAGCTAAGCTTTCTCAGCTGCTCTTAAATTACTGCTGCTCTTAACACGACTGCTACAGTTTTTGATTATACTTCATTTGCGTTCTACTTTCATATGACTCTGCCCTGGAATAGTTTATCTCATAAAGTACCTATATTAATACATTTGTGTGTTAGGTGAGATATGCGCATATTAACCAGAGCTCATCATCTCTGAACCAACAAGATGTGATTCTCAATTCCTGCAGCGGGTAGGTCAGGGAGAGATTCAAGATCAACAGGGGTTAAGCACATTTTTCAAATAATAGCACCCGAGCAAACAACTCTTCAACTTCTACATGAAGCTCTCATGAGTTACAGCATCCTTTGTTGTTCAAACTTAAAATCTGCAATTTTCTCAGTTGCCACAATCCACCCATAATATCACAAATGATAAGAGAACTGAGCTCAAGATCTGGGATTGGTTGGCTAATTGTGTAAGACTGGAAGACTAAGTCAGCCCCTTGGCCCCTCTAAGATAAATGATCATGGGTACATGAACGCATTGGCGTTGCAGGTGTTCACCTGTAAAATGGAAGTTTTAGGGATAGAGGATCGGTACTGCAGAGGAAGCCAAGATTAGCTTGTAAGAGAGTAAGGAACTTGGGCGGATGGCCATAGTTGTTTCCAATATCTATGCAACCAACACAAAACAAAGCTAGCAGCCTGAAAGCCACTTCTGACTCTTGATGATCCCATAGGGTCACAGTAGACTTGAACCCCACAGGGCTTTCAGAGGATGGCTCCTCTGAAGTTGACAGACACACCTTTCTCCCAAGGCTTCCCTGCACTGGTCAAATTCCCAGCCTTCCCATAAGCAGCAGAGCACTCAGAGCACTCGAGCACCATCCAGAGATTTGAATAGAAAGGTGGGCAATTGGAAATCAATTAGCCACTCGCTGTGTATTAAACAGGAGCCCTGGGGACCTGTGATTAAGTACTGGCCTATGAACCAACAAGTTGGTGGTTCAATGCCCCACCTCCACCCCCACTCCACAGGAGACGGCCATGACAATCTGCTTCCTGGAAGATCAAAGCCTTGGGAATTCTATGAGGTAAGTCTACTCTGTTCAACGTTGTCATCAGGTGCCACGGAGTCGTTTCTACCCATAGTGACCCAATGCACAACAAAAGGAAACACGCACGGTCCTGTGCCCTCCTCCCAATTCTTCCTGTATCCGTTGTTGCAGCCATTGTGGCAGTCCATCTCGTCACAGGGCGTCCTCTTTCCCACCCCTCCTCTGTACTTAACATGACGTCCTCCTCCAGGAGCTGGTCTCTCCTGACAATATATCCAAAGTACGGGAAGCTAAAGTGTTGCCATGCCTGCCTCTCAGGAGCACTCTGGCTGTACTTCTTCCAGTAGAGGTTGTCCTTTCAGCAGTTCATGGAACATTCAATATTCTTCTCCAGCACCTCAGTTCAAAAGCAACTCTGTTCTATCGGGATCATTATGGGTTGCAATCAATTTGACAGCTGGAATTTTGGGTTGTTTGCTTTGATATTCTTAAAGAAAAACAAAACTCATAGTCATCAAGTCAATGTAAAACACAGCAACCCTATAGGACAGGGTGAACCTGACCCTGTGGGCTCCCGAGACTATAACCATTGGTGGGAATAGAAATTCCCATCTTCCTCCTGTGGAGCGGCTGGTGGTTTTGAACTGCAGACCTTGTGGACTGTAGCCCAACTCATAACCACTATGCTATCCAGGCTCCTCTAAGTTCCTGCCAAATCAATGAGTCCCCTGCCAATGAGTTGGACGCCCTATGACGACAAAGCCCTGGCCTAGAGAGATCTGACTTGTCCTGCCACTCTGCCAGGCCACTCTGCCAGGCCACCTGGAAAGCACACCGCCACCCTTTGTTTTTCAGGTGAGAGGTTCCAGATGGAGTCAAGTAGGAGCGTGAAATCACACACCATCTCTCACCCTCTGAACACCATGAGGTTGCCTGGGCAACAGGGAGCTATTCTGGGCGTCTGCTATGAGATTCTGACTTTTTCCATCCATACCCCATGGGCTCCCTGGGGCCTCACATTCTGCACCCCCTGCAGAGACATCTTCTCCCTGCCACACAGGATCAGAGGGGAAATGGAAGGAGAAGGAACAGGCCGTGCAACTGGGCCTCAGGATTGTATTTCCTTACCATTGCATTTCCTTAGTTACGGCACATTTCCATTTATGGAGCGCTTTCCCTTATAAAACCTCCCAGTGTTTACTTCTAATCTACCAAATCATGCCGCTGACCCTTCTTGTTTCCACTCTTTAAATATCTGTAGATGGTTCATTCAGCACATTCCCCATTCAATTATTAATGGCCCACAGAAACTTACTAGCAGCAATCATTTGCTGATTAATCTGCACAACAACTCAGAGGCAGGTCGTTATCAATCCTCGGTTCTGCAGAGGGAAGCCAAGGGGAAACGAGAGGTGAACTCCGCTGCCCAGTGTCAGTGCCCACCCAGGCTCCTAACTAGGATTCTCCCCGGGCCTGTGCTTTTGTAAAGGCTCCCCACTGTGCTGTTCCCGTTCTTTAAAAATCACCATTACCGATGCGGCCAGGCAATTTCTCTCTTGAGCTGCAGTGACCACAGCAAATTTTAAATGATCAAAAAGTTCAGCCCCGAATCATCATGTCTGAGAATTGTTCACACAGTAAAGGTGCTAAAAAATCCATTTGATTGTAAATAAGCTTGCAAGTGAATCGTAAAGAAAGTTGACCGGCAAACTTTACAGAGGGGAAAGGAGTCCACACGAACGGATGGTGAATATAGACCACCCAACTCTGCCACCAGGAGAGTCTGAGGGAATCACTTTAATTTCCCTGCCTCTATTTCTTCTGCAAAAACGAGGTGGTTTTAAAGTGATATTCAATAAAGCTTTTTATTAATGAGATGGCTGAATACTTCCTAAAACCACACAAAATTTTAAAACCTCAATACCCAGTGCTGCCAAGCTGTCTGTGAAAGAAGTACATACATTCACTGCTGATGAAGTCAAGTGCTGCAACCTCCTTGGAAAGCCAAGTGACCATAGGCAGCAAGAACCCTAAGGAACTCTAGATACTTGGGCTTATCATAATGTAACTCCTATAGTATTGGATCCTGTTAACTAAGTCGACAGAAGTGAAACACACACACAAATGCACTTTTCAGGACTAGCTACCAGAGGGAAAAAACAGATACCCATTAAAAACGTTCATCTTCAGAGAACTGTCTTATTAAATAATGGCATAGCAAACAATAAGAATGTTAGGCTGCTATTTAAAAAATAATCAGGTAGTCACCAACTTAGGGTGTATTCAATTCACTATGAACCAGTATTTATACTGTACCCCCCCTTTTTTCCCCTTTATTTTATGTTTACTTTTTGTTTTTTCAGTACATCTTAAATCTTGTCATTACTAATATGTACTGCATACTATGTTGCGGCCCAGTCTGCTGACGCTACTCTCAGATATTCTCTGGCAGATATTCAGTATCAGGATTTACTGTTCAAAATTGTGTCCTGAAAGGAAAACTAAGAATGCGAGTGATTTGGCTTACATCAGAACTGACTTACGAGAGAGTGATCAGAGTGACCCCCCCCACCTTAAGTCAGGGACTACCTGTGAGTAGGAAAATGGCACACAAACGTTTTAAAAGTTGACCACGACTGTTGACCAAAGTGAGGGAACACACACCGCTCTATTGTCAACCACATAAAATAGGAACAGATGTGCAAAGTCACATCCCAAACAAAATAGTCATATTATTTGTGGAACATATAGTTCAATTTTAAAACGCTGCTTTAAAAGTTTTCCATGACTCGTGCTTTTCCATGCACACGTTACGGCAAAAAAAAAATTTTTTTTCTTCTGAAATCCTGCTTTAGTTTGATGCAAAACGAAAATATAAAGTCACAGCCAAAATTTCCTCAGTACTTTTTACTGGCTGACAAATTATTTGCGGCATTACTCATCCAGAGTGATTTCTACCCTTGGCTATATACTTCTTTGGTATCTTTCGAATCTCAGAACCCTTGCACCGCTCTCTCACACCTCAGAGTATTCTTTAAAATAGTCTGTTGTGTCATCTAGCTCAGGATAATCCATAGGTGTCTTGTATTACTGATGTGTGGCAACTGCTGGCTTCAAAATCCATCATTTTGCTGTCACCCTAAACTGTGACGGTGTCACAAAGTTGCTAGAATACATATCAGTGGATAGGGCAGTTTGAGAACTTGCAAGGTTGGAGCACTAGAATAAGCCCAGTTCTCTTTCCAGGGGCCTCAGGACACCATCCAGCCCACATAGGAAAGCATCACAGAGCACGGAGGTTCCCTGCAGCCCTGACTCAGGACCTGCCCTGCAGATAAGGTCGTTTATAAATATCCGCCCTCATTTCATAGTAGAAATGTTCCCAGACTAGCAGGTCATTTGTACATCTTTGCTCTTAAGATCTGGGAAAGATTGCAGTGCCAATGAATTAAAAATATGATCCCAGGCCTCGTGCGTGCCAGCGAATCCCCTCATTAAAGTGGAATGAGCGAGATGAGATGGGTTTCAGAGCCTCCCATCCCTTTGCCCCAGAGCCACCAAGGCCAGGCGCTGAAAGATGCACAGTAAAATTAAATATCTAAAAATTCATCTTTAATTAACAGAATTGGATTAAAGCTAGACACCACCGCATATCATACGTGAAATGGCCGAGCTGCCTTCCAAGTGTTCTAATTCAATTAGGACGCAGTGAGTGACACTCGGACGGGAAAGGTTAATTGGGGGCACCAGAACGCAATCATTCCTTACCTAACCAGTCATTAAACTTCTTAACCTCTGAGGGCAGTCCCAGCTCGGTGAAATCGCCTGTGTGGAGAAGGATGTCCCCATAAGGCATCTGGATCCCATCTGTTCTGGAGTGTGTGTCTGAGATGCAGACAAACCGCGTGTGGCCCGCTGGTTTTGGAGTGTCATATGGGATGGGGTCGACCCTAAAGTAGACATAACAGATCCCATAACGGTTAAACATATCAGAAGCCTCACAATTGTCATCTCACATACATATCGACTGTCATGTGTGAACACTCCCGACAAACCAAAGCGAAGGCAGAAGGGCTCTTGTAACAAGGGAAACATTTGGGTCCAGAGCGTTAAAAAAGAAGAAAAAGAAAAACCCAGCCCATGTACAACTCCACTGGGCCAAATTCAGTCTTACTTACCTGGTACGAAAATTAAACGGGGAGAGAGTCCCTTCTACACTGAGACAGAAATAACCCCGACAACGGAAAGAGTGATTAATGGTGAAGTTTAGGGATGTTGAACCCCAACTGGGGAAGCAAAATTATGCCATTTTGCCTCTCACCATGCTCCAATTGATCCCACTACTCATTAGGAAATGGATAACTAATGTATTCCTTCTTAAACATGCATAACTTAGCAATGAACTCATTTACAGAGAAGTCTGCACATGCCTTGCCAACTGAGATGTGGAGAGACAGGGCACCTTTATTGAATTTTCTTTCCCTTACTGTTCAGCGCCTGTATCTTCTCATTTTTACCAGGAGATTCACAAATTAAATTGGGGGGGTGGGGGGGGAGGAAGGGATGCCAAAAGAATGGGACTTTTAAAAAAAGAAAAGAAAAGGAATGTTAGAACTTTGTCAAGCTCAGTCTGTACTGCAATGAATTATCCACAGTCCCTATTACACCTGAGGGTACCAGGAAGGCTTGCATGCCTTGGGCAAACGATTGTATTCAGTGTGACTCAGAAGCCTTTGAGTGGTGTATCTAGAGCTACACGTGCATTAAAATATGTATAGTTTTCGAGACCTAAGCACTGGAATCCCACTGGGGAATAAGAATCAAAAGGCAAAATGATCAACACCCGAAGCCAAGAAAATGAAACAGAACATTCTCATTTAATTGAGTGTAACAAAGTGTACTAAATAAACTTGGTAAAGAAATGCAAATCTGACTCTTCAAGCATACAGTTTTAATTATTTAAGGGGTCTGTAGTGGAGTTAAGCATGCTTTAACTATATTAACTCTCCGCTGACAGCTTCCTCTCATTTCTCTGTAGGAATGTACACTTATTTTGGATTATGTGGGAGGGGGGAGGGGAGGAGTTATAAATGCAAAGAGAAGGTCACTAGAGAGGCAACTATGCAATGCAGAGATTCAAGTGTGAAGTATTAAATAAGGGACAATATTTCATATCACAACCCCACCTATGGCTGTTAAGATGCAGCAGAAAGCACACGGAAACCCCAGTGCAAGATTCCCTGTGCATGCTGCCGCTACAGCCTTTGTTTAATTTCCCTTGCTTTTCTCCATTTATTTTTTTTTTTTAAAGAAGCAATCTGTTTTAACTGTAGCAATTTTAGAGAGGGGAATAAAAACAATCGCAACGCAACTCAGAGACTCTGGCTTTTCTTTAATGGCTAATCCTTTATCTCTGTCAGAAAAGGAGGAGGAAGGAAGGGGGCGGATGAGAGAAAGAGGAATTTTAAACTGGGTACAGGGGGGGTCTCAATGGAAGCTCCAAAATAAAGCTTAACTCCGGCATAAAATGGGTGAATTTCCCCTGCAAAGGTCAGAAAGTAATAAGACAGTTACTACTGAGAAGGTTCACTAATTCACGGAGCTCTCCTATCTGCATCTCTCTGGTCAAGATGTTTCTGAAGTCAATCTATATAAGTGCTGGGTGTCTTCTTTTCTGTTTTTTTGGCGCTCTTACCCTCAAGTTTCTGGCTCCAAGCATCCCAGTATCTCCTGTCCTCTGAGTGGAGTGACTGCAGAGAATGAGGGAGAATTCCCTGCTGCAGGAGACTGTCTCCCTCTGAAAAGGAGCGGTAGTATTTCTACACACGTGGTGATGAGAAGCATTACTAGGATGAGACCGTGTGCATTTATGTGACCCAGGAAAGTATTCACCAACATCTAAATGAGAATGAAATCATTCACGCGCTGGACTTCTAAAGAGATAGGTAAGTTCCAGAGGTAAGTTTATATATGAGGGGGCTTCAAAAGGTTTTGAGAAACTCTCCATGATCTCTGAATTCCTTATCCCCCCCCCCGTGAACTGGAGCCCCTTCATATGCATTTATTTATCTTTGGTTTTTAGCCTAACATGAATGTGTGTTGTTGTCAGGTGTCATCGAATCATATCTGACCCATAGCGACCCTGTGCACAACGGAAGGAAACATTGCCAGTCACGTTAATGTACAGACAAAGTCAATATTCCCCCAATTTGATAGTTAAGGGTCCATGCCAATTTTTCAGAGGACCATCATGGTCATCATTTTGAATGTATTAAACAGAAAGCAACACGGATAAAAACCTCGCACTGTGAATCTAGCCAGTGTAGTACAGCAGCACATCCCGGACCAGAGAGAGTTGAGCCCAGCTCCATGCTGAACAATCGCCCTGTGTTGATGGGCCACACCAGTCAATTTTTAAAATCATTCTCAACTTCTTTCCCACTCACCCATCTCTTCCAGTGAAATGTTTATGTGTCCTGCAGAATTCACAGCTAAATAAAGCTGCTGCCTCCGACGGTGTCTCCCTCTAAAACTGATAGGCACTATTTCTACACCAACTGTTAAGAGGCACCAAGAATGTATCGCCAACATCTTACTGACGAGAGGCCAACAGAAAGGTAACGTATAGGGGACAATAAAAGGTGGGAGATGTGTATCCTCTACGCTTTACAGGTGAAGTAGACAGCAAGACCAGCAGAGAAAACTGACCCCCTGACCTTGATGTAGTCAATGCGAAACAATCAGTAGATATTTGGGAGATACATGGAGGATGGATTGGAGGGGAGGTGTTAGCAAAGACAAAGGGACGCAGACACAAATGCAACTTTTACATAGGCTGCCTAGCCCAGACGCGCTCTTCCGGAACCCAGCTGACTAAGTGTACGAAGCAGGCGATGGTTGCAGAAGAGAGTGCAGTGTGTCAAGAGACTCTGCAGGAAACGTGGCAACTACGACCTGGAGGTCACAGGATGGGAGACATTTCAACCCAAGTGCATCCAGGGTTGGAAGTAAGCTGTCAAGTACAGTGGTCAAGTGACAGGTTGATATAATTACAGTTGACACAACCCTGGAGAAACTACGCTTCCCCACGTTGGGCATCGGATAAACCCCTCGGAAAAAGAAAGCCCCGGCCTTCAAATATTGAATTCCTTGTAGAAGCACGTGTATGGAAGACCCCGACTGCTCCTGGAGGGTCTACCTGTTCACATCGTGCAAGGAGAAGACCCTCATACTACATTTTGTTCTGTAGTTCACAACTCAACTACCACTTACTGTTTACGCTGCTGATTTCTCAAATGACCTCACCACTCGTCCCTCAAGGCATCCAGTCAAATACCCTAGCAAGTGAGCATCTTACCTAGGCAATCTACACCCTCTAGCCAGATTCAGAGTATCAGAGTGAGATATTTTGGGGGCACAAGATGACATGGGAAAATGAGAAGACGACGCAGCATCATAAAGTCACAGGGATGGGCAACACCTGGCAGGGGACGGAGGGGTGGGGATGTCACTGAAAGCTTTATATGATGCTGTAGCCCCTCTGCCCATCCCTGCCCTGCCTAGCTGACAGATCTTTTCATTTCAAGGTTTCCAGAGAGGGAGAGTTCCCTGCTATTCACCTATTCTGTTTGTGGATAGTTCTAAGTGCTAGAAGCTTCTGGCCCACATTCTGCATCTCTGAGAAAGAGGAGCATGGCTGGAAGATACTGGGCCTAGTCCTAGAGCCCAAGTTACGATTCAGGTTGAGTCACTCGCTCTAGGCAAGCTACCTAAGTCCTCTGAGCTTCGTTTTGTCTCATAGACAGATGGGCAGATGGAGACCCAACCCTAACTCATGGCAATCCCATGCACAACATCTTCAAACACTGCGCTGTCCTGTGCCGCCTCCACGGTCACCAGGACATTCACATCCATTGCCACGGCAACTGTGCCAGAACGGAGAGAATTTTGAGAGACTTCCAACCTTGAGGACTCGTTTTCCTGCACACTTATCAGTCCACGTGTTGCTGACCCCCGGGGAGTGGTCCTTGGCTCATTTTCTAAAGTTCCATGGCCAAGTCTTTCTTCCCAACCTGTCTTCGTCTGGAACTCTGTTGCAGCCCGTCCTCCATGCATGATCATAGGGTGAAACATCACTGACATAGGTTCCAGCAACCATAACAATATGCAAGCCATCACTCATGTAACTTGGAAATAAGAATGCCTAATGTGCTATGTTGCTATGAAGACATTAGGTTGTCCAGTACTGAGCCTGTGCAGAGAAAGCAGAGACACCGAGTAACATAAGGATGAAGCATGCCTGGCTTCCAGAGCCAAACTGCCTGGCTTTGAATCCCATTTTATTAACAGGGTGGCGCCAAGCAAGTTGCTTATGCCTGTACACTTGTTTTTCATATATGTAAAATGAATACTAAAATAGTACAGATTTCACTGTGATTTGTTGTGCCATTGAAAAATCATAAAGTGTCAATGCATTTAGAAGACTGTTGGACACAAAGTAGCACTCTACAAATGTTACAGGTATTTTATTAGCAGTAGTAGTATCATTTCATTTTTTTAACTCGGTCGATGACTACCTTTTATCAGAGAACCGGATGATATGAAGAAGAATGCAGCATCGGGACTGGAGAAGGCTTCTGAACAACCTGTGATATGCAGAGGACACAACTTTGCTTGCTGAAAGTGAGGCGAGCTTGAAGCACTTGCTGAGGAAGATCAAGGATTGCAGCCTTCAATCTGGATTACAACTCAATGTGAAAAAACTGAAAATCCTCACAACTAGACCAGTAGGTAACATCATGGTCAACAGAGAAAAGACTGAACTTGTCAAAGATTTCATCTTGCTTGAATCCACAATCAGTGCTCACGGAAGAAGCCGCAAAGAGATCAAACGATGCACTGCATTGGATAACTCTGCTGCACAAGAACTCTTTAAAACACTGAAAGGCAA